CCTTTGCTGAACAACCAGAACTATTCGACAGGACTCCAACAACACGACAGTGACTCCTTTGCTGAACAACACAGTTTTGAACAAACGACAAGTGACCTTGGCTGAACAACACGACAGTTTGCTGAACAACACAGTTGTGAACTATTCGACAGTGACTCCTTTTGCTGAACAATACAGTTTTGAACAATACGACAGTGACTCCTTGCTGAACAACACAGTTGTGAACTATTCGACAGTGACTCCTTTGCTGAACAACACAGTTTTGAACAATACGACAGTGACTCCTTTGCTGAACAACACAGTTTGAACAAATTTGTGCACAGTGACTCCTTTGCTGAACAACACAGTTTTGAGCAATACGACAGTGACTCCTTTGCTGAACAATACGACAGTGACTTCTTTTTTGAACACCACCACAAACATGAACAATTTAACGACTCCACTAGTGAACAATACCACAGCGGTGACTTTTGTACCAACGATGATACCGTCCTTGACAAACAGTACCGCAACGGGGAATAATTTGACTCTTTCAATGAACAATACTACATCAGGAATAACTCCTCCTCTGAACAATGCCACAGTCATTCCTCTGCTGAACAGCACCACAGCGGTAACTACTTCGCTGAACAATACCACAGAGATAGACAATGTCACGACTGTAATAGGTCATACCACAGACGTGAACGCTACTCCAACTATGACTCCTTTTCTGAATGGTACAACGTTGGTACCGAATAACAGCACAGGACAGAATAGTTCAGCACCGTTGAATCCCTTGGACAATGCCACGGACGAGAACAGTACCACAGGGGCAATTCCTGACCAGACTACCCATACGATGATGACTCCTACGTTGAATAAAACTGAGGGACAGAACAATGCTACAGTGAAGAGTGCACACAATACCGATGACGTGACTTCTCTGGCGAACACTACCACAGCGAAGCCTTCCTTTCAGAATGGAACAGCCACGAATCATCCCCCATTCCTGAACACCTCGGCAGGAAGTCCTCCGTCCATGAACGTGTCAAAGAACCCTCTATTGGTAAGTACCGTAGGTGGATTACTCACTCTAAGTCTCTCAGAGAACACTACCACAGCAATGAACAATACCACGAGGGTGACTCCTTTGCTGAACAGTACAGCAGAAATGAGCACTGCCACAATTGTGACTCCCTTGCTGAACAATACAGCAGAAGTGAACAATATGACAGTGCAGGCTCCGTTGAATACTACCGAGGATGTACAAAGTGCAACTCCCATTGCTATCCAAAAAACAGCTACAGAAAATACAGCAATGTCAGGGACTTTGCATTTAGAGAAAGATACTGTTACCATAACTCCCATTTCAGATGAAGTTCAGGATTCCACATTTTCATCTCTAACGAATAATAAAACTTCTCCAAACAGGACGGTTGATGCTGCTACAACTCGGTCCAAGGATTTGCCAAGAACTAGAGAACTGGATAGAAATACAATCATTTCTGAAACAGTTACTGAAGCATTTGGCGAAGAAACTGAAATCTTACTTCAGGACTTTACTGAAGGACTTTAGATCAAGAAGACTTTACTGAAGCCACGACTTTAGATCAAGAAGACTTTACTGAAGTCACGATTCAAGAATTAGAAAATACTTTAATCCATGGGGTTCTCACTTCCAAAGAAATTACTGAAGGAATTACTGAAGCAGCAAGAGAGGAAGTTACTGAGGTACTTGTTTCCGCCACTTCAGTTATAGAAAGACTTCCTAAATCCACTTCCGGTACAGAAGCACTTCCCAAATCCACTTCAGATATAGAAACACTTCCCAAATCCACTTCAGATATAGAAAGTATTCCTATATCCACTTCAGATATAGAAACACTTCCCAAAGCCACTTCAGTTATAGAAGCACATCCTAAATCCACTTCCGGTACAGAAGCACTTCCTAAATCCACTTCAGATATAGAGACACTTCCCAAATCCACTTCAGATATAGAAAAGATTCCTACATCCACTTCAGATATAGAGACACTTCCCAAATCCACTTCAGATAGAGAAAGGGTTCCTACATCCACTTCAGATATAGAGACACTTCCCAAAGCCACTTCAGATATAAAAAGTATTCCTACATCCACTTCAGATATAGAAACACTTCCCCAATCCACTTCAGATAAAAAAACGCTTCCTAAATCCACTTCAGATATAGAAAGTATTCCTACATCCACTTCAGATACAGAAACACTTCCCAAATCCACTTCAAATATAGAAAGGGGTCCTAGATCCACTTGAGATATAGAAAGTATTCCTACATCCACTTCAGATACAGAAACACTTCCCAAATCCACTTCAAATATAGAAAGGGGTCCTAGATCCACTTGAGATATAGAAAGTATTCCTACATCCACATCAGATACAGAAACACTTTCCAAACCCACTTCAGATATAGAAAATATTCCTACATCCACTTATGATACAGAAACACTTCCCAAACCCACTTCAGATATAGAAAAACTTCCCAAACCCACTTCAGATACAGAAACACTTCCCGAATCCACTTCAGATATAGAAAGTATTCCTACATCCACTTCAGATATAGATTCCCAAATCCACTTCAGATATAGAGACACTTCCCAAATCCACTTCAGATATAGAAACACTTCCCCAATCCACTTCAGATAAAGAAAAAACTTCTTAAATCCACTTCCGATACAGAAAAAAGTGTTGAGTTAACAACAGATTCATTATCCTCAAAAGTAGAGTTTTCAGAAACCACAAGTCTTGGCTTTGAGAACATTATTGAAACCACAAATCTACAAAGACAAACAAACGCAGCAACAACTTTTAGTCCAGAAAATGTTACTCCGGATGTAAAGAAGGTTTCATTATCCATGTCAGTGAATTTTTATTAATGTTTTCTGGATCAAATGACGTGGCTTTATGTGGAAAGGTATGGATGAGAAGGAATATCTTCACAATACAAGAGATGTATTTTACCGGTTTCGATTATATCTTCGTCAGAAAACATCAATAAAAATACATAATTAATAAAAGAATTAATAAAACTGCACTTAAAGATCAATAAATGTTACTAATCACACAAATTCAGACCTTAAAGATATCACTCCTTCTTGCTTCAACATCAGATCACGAGAAAGATAATGAATCGAAAACTTATGATCTGGAAAATGTTGCTGAAGCCGTAACTAAAACTTTTCTCTTGAAATGATCATTGAGGTTTCAACTTCTTTTCAAAACTACTAAAGAGAAAGCTTTGGATTTAGATGTTGCTGGAATCACAGCTTCAGGTCTAGAAAAGGTACACTAAAGATTGTCACTGATGTTAATGATTTAGGAAAAGATACTGAAGCTATAACTTCAGAAGCTATAACTTCTGAAATGTCAAAAGTGATTGAAGGCCTCTAATACAGAAAAAAATTCTGATACCGAGGCTGGTTAATCGCAATAGACCTATAAATATCAAATCAAATTTACATAACAGATAAGAAATAATAAATTAAAATGTAAAATATGGAAAATGTTTCTGAAACCTTAACTTCAGCAAAGGTCTTGACGTTTAAACTTCTCACTTAAAAAAGGTCATAAGAGCTGGAAATTTCTGCCACTTTCTTGTCTCAGAATCGTAATCAAAATAATAATCAAGTTGATCCATAAACAGATACTTATTACCATGGGAATATTCATGGAAAAAAGGAAAAAGCTATTTTAGCAAAATCTTGTTGATAGACCATGAAATTAGTAAACATCTTGAGGAGTAATTCTCTTCATGATAATTTATTTCATTTATAATCTCAAAATTCATTTAAGATCGATAAGAGAATGATGTTCAGTATATCATATATCATGAAAGAAATGGTATTTATTTATTTGGATATTCTGACTGTGTATATCTTTTCTTGTAAATATGTGTGGATATAATAAATGCATAAAATTCATATAAGAAAATTAAATATATCCTGTGCTTGACTCTAAACCTAAAAAAATAATACATCTCCATGCAATGAATTTAAGCATTCACAAAATATGAACAATAAAGAAGTAATTAATTGAACAATTAATTTAAATAAATCACATGTATAAGAATGTTACGAATGTTAAGAATCTTCTTTTACACAACACAATGTTATATACAACGATGAAAATGAAACACTGATAACCGAATAACATGTCAATAACTATTCTCCAGGTGTTCATCTATCAAAGACGATCGCCTGACTTTGTTCAAGGTAGACAATGGGAGATAAAACTGGATATATAACGAGGAGGGATAAGGATAAAGTTTATATTACTGGTGGCATTCCTTTATTCATGAATATCACATATGTTTTGTGCCGCTACAACAGTGTGGTGATCTCTCCCTCACACGGCCAGCCGGGGGAGAGGGAGAAAGGGAGACAGGAACAGAGGGAAAGAGAAAGGAGAAGGAGAGGGAGAGAGAGAGACAGGAACAGAGGGAGGGAGAGAAAGAGAGAGGAGGAGAGAGGGAGGAGAGAGAGGAGAGAGAGAGAGAGAGAGAGAGAGAGAGAGAGAGAGAGAGAGAGAGAGAGAGAGAGAGAGAGAGAGAGAGAGAGAGAGAGAGAGAGAGAGAGAGAGATAGGAGAGAGAGAGAGAACAAAGGAAAATGTTGAAACAAACAACAATAATTATAATGATAAAGAAAGAGATTATAAGATACAACTCATGGTCACAATACATTTTCTCTTTACGAAAAAGAAAAAAAAAAAGATATTGAAAAGTCATAAAAATATTACCTCCAGCTGGCCACGCTAAAGGGATATACATATACAAATATATATATAACAGAGAGGCTTCGCAGTAACACTGAGAAACCCCTTACAGAAATTCAGTAATTGTTGTCTGTACAGTGTATAGACAATACATAGAAGAATACATTGGAAGTTATAAGCCTACCTAGCTGTATGAAGCCTTGCATAAACCACAGGCATTCTCGTATAAACTGTAACTAAGCTTCTCGTCTTTTGTAACTAGAGAAAAACCTCGAGGATAAAACGGCAAATATTCCAGCACTATACCCACCAATTACTATTCAGAACTACTCAATATATTCTCTATTTGCGACCTTACTCGTATCCGTAGACACATACATACCCTTACACGCACTTACACACACACACACGTACACATCAATAACCACTCATACATAAATAAAGTAAAATAATATCTATCGAGCTTTCGAATCACCAACATTTTTACATTCCTCTTAGCTCAGACATAATTATTTTTCATCAGTAAGCAAAGTCCTTCACCTGATATAGAAGAATTACAAGCATCTTTAAGAAGCTAAGAAAGTTGAATTATAACTTCATTATCGATCTCTCTCTAACAGCAATAAATAAATAAGTTAGACGAACCAATCATAAGTTATGAGGTTAAAGCGGTAAGGCCACTTCACATATATATATATATGTATACATACATACATACATACATATATATATATATATATATATATATATATATATATATATATATATATATATATATAAACAGATTCTACGTTACCTTTTAAGGCATTTTCTTTTTGAGAATAAATATATATTTTCTTCTATTTTAGAAACTATTCTACACTGGAAGTAAAGTGACTTTGCTTACGGATGACCATCAGAAATACTGTTGAAAAAATACAATAAGTAAGGAAGAAAGCGTATAAAACAACACAGCAATACAGTAGTTTGTTAGCCCCTAACTATGTATAGGCGACAGAAGCCCAGCAAAAGGTCAATAGACTTTCATGTAGTTTCATTGACCTTAGTTTTGACTTGGTTCCTCTAGGGTCAAAGGCCAATCTTGTAACTTTTTTTTAATTTGAGGTCAGCCGAAACTACGTTGATTTTTAGAAGAATTGTAGAAAAGTCTTTCTAGTTTTAGAAAAAAAAAAATCTAGAAAATTAACTTTGATTCTTTTTCTTGTCTTAGAGGAACCAAGGCGTTTCATTTACCCGACAAAGCCTCTATACGGCCAGGTTTTTATTTTATTTCCAGCTTCTATAACAGCGTCGAAGAGTGATTCCGGTGAACAGATTTTAAATTTTGATTTTGGTCTTTAAAGTATTTCTATTTTTTTATATTAAGATTCCAAAAAGTTCAAGTTCTCCGTTTTCTTTGCATCTTGTTTTTGGATTCCAAGGGGGATCTCGTGAAAACATTTGATTTTATCTTTCTGTCACCGGAAGTCTTCTAGAACAAAAAAAAATATTGAGAAGCGAAAAAAAAGACGAAACATTACAATTCAATAAGGAAAGAAATGATTAAAAAAAAATGTAATAAAAAAAAAGCACAGAAATTCGACTCTCGATCGCAGTCCTTCAAGACCACAGGAGGAGAAAACTAATAAATCTTAAGCTCTACTTAAGGTACACTTCATCAGCTGACGGAAAACCCTTTCGTCAGACATCACAAGACCCTCCTGCTATTTTCAAGTCTCGTTTCCTTCCCTTTCTATCTTTCCTTGCTTTCTCTCTTTCTTTCAAATCATAAAAAAAAGGTTCGTGTTCATAACAGTTCAAACGAATGGGATCGACACAGAATTACCACTATACATCTATTTACACCAGCGAGTCAGCAGCTACAACCAAAGATACAGGACGAGGGAGACGAAGAAATACGTCGCCAAGAAAAGCGGATTCCGTGATGAGAAATCCCGGGTTTTTTTTATACAGACTATGAAGTACCATTGCACCTGTGATTCGAGTGATTGTGCGGGGGTTGTGGCTGTTGTGGATTTTGTTTGTGGAGAGATATTTACAAATTTTGCGGGTTTGGGAGGAGGGAAATGTTGTTTCATGGTGTGAGGTAACATTCCATACATACATATATTTATATATATGTATGTGTGTATGTACATGCATATGTATACATATACATGTACATGTATATACATACATACATACATACGTACACACACACACATATATATATATATATATATATATATATATATATATATATATATATTATATATATATATATATATATATATATATATTATATACTTATTGGATGTATCTGTTAAGGATTAAGTGCATATTGGCCATGTAACGTAGAAGTTTTCAGGTAATCAGCAGAGGACAAATGACCGTTCAGAACGCAAGAGGAAAGCAGACTTGGAGGTGCGTCTCGGGACCGGAGGCGCCTGGCCCGCGCGCGCTGCAGGAGGCCGCGCGCTCAGCCCCAGGTGATGCAGGCGGGGCTGCCGGCCACGGGGTCCAGCCGGAAGGTCTGGCCCGCGGCGCACGGGCCCTGCAGGAAGTGCTGGTAGCAGCGGGCGTCGCGGCTCCAGTAGTGGGTGCTCATGCCGGCGTGGCAGTCGCAGGCCATGCGGCCCGTGGCGGCGTCCTCCGTCACCAGCTGGCCCTCGGGGCACGGGCCGCGGGTCAGGCGCTCGTAGCACGTCTGGGACTCCTCGTGCAGCACGTGCGAGGTGAAGCAGTTGCACTCGGTCTGGCCGGACGTCTGGTTGAAGCTGAAGTACATGCCGGCGGGGCAGGGGCCCACGGAGTGCTGCTCGTAGCACTGGCCGTCCTCGGGCCAGTAGTAGGGCGTCCACTCGCGGCGGCAGTGGCAGCCGGACACGCCGGTGTTGAGGTCCAGGTAGAAGAGCTGGCCCTCGGGGCAGGGGCCGCGCGAGTACTGGCGGTAGCAGCGCTGGTCGGGCGTCCAGAAGAACCAGTTGTCGAAGCGCGCGCACTGCGTCTTGCGCTCGCACACGGCCACGCCGGGCTCCGAGAACACCAGCCAGTTGCCGAGCGGGCACGGGCCGCGCGAGTACGGCTGGAAGCAGTGGCCGTCGGCCGTGGTCACGTTGCCGGGCAGGCACGTGCACTCAGTCTTGAGCGTGTCCAGGTTGCGCACGTAGCAGTTGATGCCGCCGTCCTGGCACTTGGCCTGGTCGCAGAGGCCGGCCGTGTTCAGCTCGTAGCACACGCCGTCGTCCTCGAGCATGAAGCCGTCGCGGCACTCGCACACGGGCTCCAGCGTGCGGTAGTCGAACTTGAGCAGGTGGCCCTTGGGGCAGGGGCCCTGCTCGTACAGCGGGTAGCAGCGGCCGTCGGCGCGGAAGTAGTGCATGACCATCTCGGAAGAGCAGGAGCAGAAGCCCTCGCCGCCCGCCGTGCGCCCCATGAACAGCTCGCCCACCTGGCACGGGCCCTGCGTGTACTCCTGGTAGCAGGCGCCGTCCTTGTAGCGCGCCCAGAAGCCGGGGCACCTGCAAGAGGGACGTGGCGTTAGTCGGGCGTGGAGGCTGGTCCAATGGCCCTCGAGGGGACGGCCGTTATTTTAGGTATTACTGTTATTACTGTTATTTTTATCCTATTTGAAGTTGCTATAAAAATGATTTTTCAAGAGTAAAATTCAAGACAGTGATCAAGTTACTGAAATTATGATAGTTATTATTATAAAGTAAACTTCATCGACATATACTATACATTTCATTGCTACAAACATATTGAATAATACATATACAACCAAAAAGAACAAAGATACATAAATGACATAAATAGGATAATATTTCCCTTTTGTCCGCTCTTATGCCTTACGAATATTTAAATAACTTTCTCATCCTTTTGTCTTCTCTCGTTTGGCCTTTCCTTTTCTCCTCCTCCATATACCTATATATGTATCCCTTCTCTCCTCTTCCTATCCCTCTCTCCCCCTTCCCCGCTTTTCCTCCCCTTTCCTCTTCCCTTTCCCATTCCTCCCTCTTTCTTTCTTCCTTACTCTCCTCCCTCTCTCCCCCTCCCCTCTTCCCCTTACCCTCCCTCCCCCTCCTTCTTTCCTTCCTCCCCACCCTCTTCCCCTCCTTCCCCCTTCCCCTCCCCTCTCCCCTCCCCTCTTCCCCTCCCTCCCCCTCCCCTCTTCCCCTCTCCCCACCCTCATCCCCTCCTCCCCCTCCCTTCATCCCCTCCTTCCCCCTCCCTTCCCTCCCTCCCCTCTACCCCTCCCCTCCCTTTCCCCTCCCTCTCCCCCCCCTCTTCCCCTCCCTCTTCCTCCCCTCCCTCCCCCTCCCTCCCTCCCCTCTTCCCTCACTCTACCCTCCTCCCTCTCCCTCCTCTCCTCCTTCTGAACTGACCTATACTCCCTCCTTCGCTTTCCTCTTCTTCCCCTTCACCTTCACCACTTGATTTGCATCCCCTGTCTCCCTGTACATTCTCTTCCTCTTCCTTTCTCCTCTATTTATCAAATTTCATTGATTTGTTTACTGATTTTCCTCCTGATTGTTTTTCATTTTTTTTCCATTTCGCCTTCTCTCTCTTTGAATCTGTCTCCCTTTTTTTTTTGTCTTTGTCTCCTTATTCTCTTTGTTTCTGTCTCCCTTTTTCCTCTGTCTTTATTTTCTGTCTCCTTTTCTCTCTCTGTCTATGTCACTATGTCTGTCTGTCTTTTTTCTTCTCTCTCTCTCTTTCTCCTTCCCTCTCACTCTTTCCTTCTCCTTCCCGCTCTCCCTCTCTTACTCTCTTCCCTTCTCTTTACTTCTCTACTTCTCCTTCTCCTCCTCTCCCCTTCTCTACCTCTCTATTTTTCCCTCTCTCTCTCATTCTCCTTCCTCACTCCTTCTCTTTACCTCTCTATTTCTCTATTCCTCTCTCTCTCTCTCTCTCTCTCTCTTCTCTCTTCTCTCTCTCTCTCTCTCTCTCTCTCTCTCTCTCTCTCTCTCTCTCTCTCTCTCTCTCTCTCTCTCTTTGGGGGAGATCTTTATCCAAGTCCCCTCTCTCTACTTCCTTCACCTTCTCTTTGTCCTTATTTTCATCCTCTTTACCGCTATCTTTATGAGCTTCATTCACTGACCAATGACCTATCGTATGACCTCTGACCTGTTGTCACTCTTTCCACGGATACATTCTCTTTCGCTTCAATTGTCGTCTCTTCTCTTCCGCTCTTTTTCTTCAGTCTATGTCCTCGGGTTCCTTTCTATTATACTATTTTACCTTTCTCTCGTTTTCTTTAAATGTTTTGTTTACCTAATTTCCCTTTATTACTTCCTGTTGGTCTCTCTCTCTTCCCCTTTCTTGTCTCTCGTTTGTCTCCTCCTTACATTCTTCTCTCCTCTTATCTTTTATTTTCATCTTTCCTTTCTTTGCTATGTCTTATGGACTTTAAAATTGTTTTTATTTTCTTCTTCCTTTTGCTTCTTTACTTGTTTTCCTACTCTCTCTTTGACTTTTTTCTGATTCTTTTTGTTCCTTTTCCCTTCTTCATTATCCCTTTCCTTTCTCACCTACTTCCCTTCCTTTGTTTGTTTCTCATTTATCATTTCTCTCTTCATCTCCCTCCAACCTACCAAAAGAGGAAAAAAATAAAAAATAAATAAAACTATCCCTTAATATCTCTCCGTATTCTTCCTTCTATCTTTCCCTTTCTCTTCCTCCTTTCCTTTCCTCACTGACCTCTTGTGACCCCTTATGGCATTGCAAAAACAACCTGACCTACTCTCAGCTTGACCTCGTTTCTACTCTCTCTATCCTTCCTTCTTTCCCTTCGTTCCCTGTCCCCATTTCCCTTCTCTTTATTAATTCCATCTTCTACTACTTCTGATTTTTTTTTTTTTTAGTTTGTAGTTAACATCTATTTCTACCCTTCTTTCATAATCTTCCTTGCTTTCCTTTTTCCTCCTTTCTTTCTCTTCTATCTTCAATGACCTCCCTTGACCTCAAATGGCATCGTATAAGGTTACTCCACGAACATTTTCCTTCTTGTTCATCTCCCTTTTTCGTCCTATCTGCACTTCCCTTTAACCATTCCCCTTTCTTTCCCTTCCCTTTCTCTCATCCCTCATCTTCACTTCCTTTTTACTAGCTCCCCCCTATCTCCCATTTCCTATTTTCCCTTCCTTTCCTCCATTCCCCACCCCGCCTATCTCCACTTCTATCTTCCTTTCCTTTCCTCCTATCCCCCATCCGCCCTATCTCCCACTTCTTATCTCCTTTCCTTTCCTCCTGTCCTCCTTCCCCTATCTCCCACTTCCTATCTTCCCTTCCTTTCCTCCAGTCCCCATCCCGCCCTATCTCCCCTTCCTTTCCTCCTGTCCCCCTTCCCCCTTTCTCCACTTCCTATCTTCCCTTCCCTTTCCTCCTGTCCCCCTTCTCCCCCCCCTTCCCCCAGTGACCTCCCTGACCTCCCACGACCTTTTCAAAACAACAAGCAAACCGACCTGCACTCAGCGTGGCCCGTCTCGTTAGCCGCCAGCTGTTGACCCCGCCCGCATGGCCCCCGCGTGAACTCCGGGTAGCAGAGACCCGTGTGGGGCCAGTACACGTGGTAGTGGGCGCACACACAGTCCTGCTTGCCGTCCACTATCACCGCTTGGAAGCCATCTGGACAGGGCTTCAGAGGGCGCTCCCTGGCTGGCACCGCGAGGGAAACCTGGACCAGAGCCGTCAGCGCCATCGCCAGAAGGAGCATGTTGGGTCTCGATGGGGGTTGCATTCTGTGGGCGAGAGATGGCGTTAGTTGCGGGATTCTTCGCGAATGGAGGGTCTGTTTCTGGAATAGGAATTAGAGGAAGAAGAATGTGAATATGAATAAGAAGAATAGGGGGTATGGAGCAAGTGATGAGACCAAGAGAAAGAGAGAGAGAGAGAGATAAAGTTCATGATTGCATGGAAGAATGTATAACCACATAAATAAATAAAATATGATGTATAACCACATAAATCAATCAAGTATAATGTATAACCACATTAATAAATCAAATATACTTAAAAATTAATATATCGTAAAAATTCCAGTTGATGCAAAACAATATTTATCAAGCGGTGAAAAAAAATCTTGAAATATTCTTTAAAATCAACATTCTTTCCCATTCATTGATGCCTAATATATATATATATATATATATATATATATATATATATATATATATATATATATTATATATATACATATATACTGTACACGCATACCGCAACCTCATACCGGGAAAAAGAAGAAAAAAGAAGAAGAAACAAAAACAGAAAAAAAATCATTCTTAGACCATATAAAAGACCCCCCACCCCCCCCAAAAAAAAAAAAAAAAAACATAATTAGAAACCTTATTCAACCCGCAAATGATACTGAAAGCTCTGACAATAAAAATACTCTCCGAGATCAAAGCAATTACAGTATTTTCAGATCAACCCGTCTGTCTGTCGGTTGAAATTGCAAGTGAGAATAGAAAGCTCAACTTGAAAAACTGCTTTGCAATGCTTTTTTTCCCCTTCCTCTTTGAAAGGATGATGCAGTAATTTTCTTTTTTCTTTTTTTTCTAATAACCGGAGAAAGTGAAAGTGGTACAAAGCATAAGAGAAAAAAGAATGAAAAATATCTGCTAGTACTCAACATGTTTGCTTCTTCTTCTTCTCTTCCTTGTCTATTTATTTTCATTATCATCATTTTATTATCATTATCATTATCATCGTCATTATTATCACTGTTGTTGTTGTTGTCATTATCATTACTATCATCATTATTAACATCATTATTATTATTATTATTCTTATCAATTATTATCATCATTATTATTATTGTTACATCACCATTATCATTATCATTGTTATCACAGTTACTCTTTTGTTTTGTGAAAATATTGATTCTCTTTCATATCTTTTCTACGTTTGTCACAGTGGATACGATTTATCAACATTATCATTATCTTCATCATCATCATTACTATCATTGTTATACTATTTCTATAATTATTGTCGTTATTGTCATTATCATTTCTTTATTTTTTATCATTATTATTTCTTTATTTTTGTTTTATCATTATTATTATCATTAATAGTTTCATTATTATCATAATTAACATTATCGTTATTATTGCCGCTGCTAGTATTATCATCATTATCAGTATTATCATTACTGTCATTACTATTATCACTATTATTACTGTTACTATTATTGTTATTAACATTATCATAATTGATATTATTATTATTATCATCATTATCATCATCATTATCATTATTATATTTTTATCAATATCATTATTATCATTATTATTTTTATTAATATCATTATTATTATTATCATTATTATCATTATTATTATTATCGTTGTCATCATTATAACTTTTATTGTAATTATTATTAGTATGGTTTTCATCTGTAGTAATATTAACAACATTATCATTATCATCATTGTACTTATTATATCATCATTAACATTATTATCATTATTAGTATTAGTAATAACATTATCATTATTGTACTTCTGATTGTCATCATTATCATCATCATCATCACCTTTATCATTATTCTAGCTGTCAGATATGTTTTCATAAATGACCAATTTTACATTTTGAAATCATACGCATATATAAAATACGCACACAAGTTACCGCATACACATTAATAGATTCGTGGATAAATAAACCTGATATTTTTTTAGGAGAAGTGCATATAAACACAATTAAAATACAAACAAAGAATGAACAGGTCTATACGGAACATATATATCATATATCTCGAAATTGATACTCTTCTCAAAGGTGTACCCATAATCAGATCACACACACACACACACCACACACACGCTCTCTCTCTCTCTCTCTCTCTCTTTCACACACACACACACACACACACTCTCTCTCTCTCTCTCTCTCTCTCTCTCTCTTTCACACACACACACACACACTCTCTCTCTCTCTCTCTCTCTCACACACACACACACACACACACACACACACACACACACACACACACACACACACCACACACACACACACACACACACACACACACACACACACATACACACGCACACTCGCTCTCTCTCTCTCTCTCTCTCTTTCTAACAACAACAACACAACACACACACACAAACAACACACACAACACGCACACAAACAAACAACAACGATAACAACACACGCACACAAAAACGCACACGTCCGCATAGTCCGATAAAACGCCCATAAATTTGGCAGTCAAAGTGCCCGCTTCCACTATCAATTTCCCCGAAAGGTCAGTAACCTCCTTCCATTCTCTTGTACCTTTCATTCTGAGGAAGATAAAGTGTACGTTTCGTCCTAATACCTTTCCCTTTGATTGATTGATTGATTGATTGGTTGGTTGTTGGTTGATTTTTGATTATTGCCATTTTGTAAACCTATTTGTTTTCTTTTTTCTTGGTTGGTTGGTTGATTTTTGATTATTGCCATTTTGTAAACTTCTATGATTTGTTTTTTTTTCTATTTAGGGCCTGTTAGGTAAAATGTATCTATTTTTAGGTTTCGTTTTTTTGCGATGTAACTAAGAGAAATGTCTTGCATATGATTTAGTTATCTTTTTTAGTACAACTTTTAGGGGAATTTATAAACAGTTTTTCTTTTTCGCTGAAACGAAGTAAAGGTAGGTTTACTGTCACACACTTTTTTCGTTCTTTTCACGAGCTATACACACACGGATCTATTTAATCTCACCTTCGATGTAGATTGATCTATATCTTTAATTGTCTTCGTTACCTCAGAAACGTAGGATGCAACAAAATTCCTTCAAAGTTTCATTAACACACCCTTCAAATCTTTAAATTTTCATTTCCTTCAACAGTCATTCAAAGTAACCTCAAGCACTCCTTCAAAGAATCCTTCTACGCTTCCACAAAGAATCCTTTAAAAAGATCTGCACAAACACTCCTTCAAAAGATCCACTAAAGTTTCCTCAACCACTCGTTCAAGATTTCTTCAAAGAATCCTTCAATATTTCCTTAAAGAATCCGTCAAAGTTTCTTCAAGCACTCCTTCAATGAGGTCCTTAAAGATTCCTTAGAGAATCCTTCAAATGTTTCCTCAAACACTTTAAAAAGGCCCTTAGAAATTCCTTTAAAAATCCTTCAAAGTTTCCTCAAACACTCCTTCAACTAGGCCTTTAAAATTTCCTTAAAAATCCTTCAAAGGTTTCCTCAAACACTCCTTCAACGAGGCCTGTAAAATTTCCTTAAAGAATCCTCCAGAGGTTCCACAGAGACTCGAGGAGACGCAGCAAGTGACCTTTCCTACGGAAGCGAACGAGGAAGTGCGGGCCAGCGAGGAGACATCCGAAGCCGCGCGGGAGAGGAAGCGACCTTTGATAAGCACAACACGCCCCACGTCGTCGCAGTCATGAAGCTAGAGGCAGAAAAAAAGGAGAAAGAAAAGAGAAAGAGAGAAGGAGGGAGGAAAAAATCAAGTGGAAGGCGTTCACCTCTCCGTCTTGCGTGACCACCTCCTTAACCTCTCATTTGCTTAATTTCTCTTTTTTTTTCTTTCTTTCTCTCTCTTTAGCTTATTCCTTTTTTAATAGCAAAGTTATTAGTCTCTCCTCTCTTTAAATCTTGCGTTCGTGCGTGCGTTGGGAGATGAAGTGTCTGGAGTTATCAGGAGTCACTAGTATTCAGATTGTGTGTCTTATAAGTTAATTTCCTCGTCTTGATTCTTCTTGATTCTTCTTGATTTCTTCTTGATTCCCAATGATCGCGATGTCTCTCACGAACCACAAGTCGGATCAAGGACCGGAATGGTGTAGTGCAAGGCAGTTCGTGCGATGATCTGCCCATGAGAAACTTCACGGTCACCTTCTGTTAATTATGGCTTCTGCTTTCTCCAAGCACCTCTTTTCCAGTCTCATTTCCTAGTGTCACGCCGGCCTCAAGTCATCAACTCGAACTGTCACTAAGAAAATTCACTTCGATTTTTATTCACTCTCGTAATTAGAATCGAGAAAAACACAACAGTAAGTCCCTCTCGTACAATGCACTGTTGAAGGTACCTGGAACACCTGTGCGTGTGTGTGTGTATCTGCGCGAGTATTCTTGAGTCGGACGCCACCGCTACCGTCCCCGTCGGCACCTGCACTGCTAATAAAATCCATGCCTGGCCGAATATCATCCACACCTAATCTGATCCCCCCTTTCCCCTCCCTCTCTTGCTTCCTCTTCCCCTCCCCTTCCCCTTCCTCCTCCTCCCCTCCCCCCTACTTCCTCCTACCCTCCCTTTCACCCCTTCCCCATCCCCTCCCCTTCCCTCTAGCACCAGTCAGGGATGGGCCGAGGTGCTTCTAGGAAAGTTCCTCAGGCTTTGCGCTGGGGAACTCCCTGCCCCAGTCAGGAGGGGGGAAGGGGATGGGGGGGTGCCAAGGGGGCAAAGACCGCTTTTCCCTTTGAACTCATGCGCGGGCAGACACACAGCACGCATACACAGACACACACATGCATGCACATCCAAGAACGCACACATATTCAGTCTTCCTATTCCATTCATGTTTGCCATTCATCCAGTGTTCGAAATAGTACCGGGTTTCCCAACACCATTTCCAATCATCACACATTTGCATACGTACTTTTATTTCTTCTAAACATGCTCTACAAAAAGAAATGGAGGAAGAGAGAAAGAAAAAGAGAACAGAGAGAGAGAGAGAGAGAGAGAAAGAAAGATAAAGAGAGAGAGAGAGAGAGAGAGAGAAAGAGAGAGACTGATAGATCGATAGACAGAGAGAAAGAGGGGAGTAGATAGATAGATAGAAAGACGAGGAGAAACGGGTGTGACTGGCACAGGAGAAACAGAGCGAAGACAAGTTTATAACCCTATCGAGGGCAACTTCAACCCGACGGCACTTTGGAAACTTTAGACGAGATCGCGGGCGTTGGCATACCACTGGGCGAGCATCCGACGGTGTTTGGTAAGTTGTGAATAATAATTAAGAAAAAGATGTTTGAGAGATACACAAGGATATGAGTCAGGCTCTTAATATTCTTCTCTCTTCTTTATGTCTCTTGTTTTCTTTATCCTATTCTCCTTTATCTGTCTCTCTTTTTTTCTTTATCCTGTTCTCCGCTCTTCTTTTTTCTCTTCTTTCTTCCCTTCCTCTTCGTTTCTTCTTCCTTCCCCCACTCCTCTTCCCGTTTCTTTTCCTCACTTCCTCCATCTTGCTCCTTTCCTCCTTCCGTTCCACCTCCTCTTCCACCTCCCCTTCTCCTCTTCCTCCTTCTCTCCTTCCTGCCTCCTCCTCTTCCACCTTCCCTTCTTCCCTTCCTTCCTCCTCTTCCACCCTCCCTTCTTCCTTCCTCCTCCTCTTCCACCTTCCCTTCTTCCCTCTTCCTTCCTCCTTCCTCCTTAATAGCTCTCCATCTACCTTATTCGCTCGGTTGGTTCCTGTATCGACCTCGGCATGCATGGCATCTACTCGCTGTTACTGTGTCACTCAGAAGCCTCGACTTTCTATAACCCGGATTTATGAGTAAGATTTTTTCCGGGTGTTCTACTGGAGCAACGGACTAACGGGTTTTTTGTTTGGTCGTTTGCTTGTTTGTCTCTTGGCTGCTTGGTTGAATGCTATTGGTTGTTTGTATTACTGTCTTCTACCGTTTCTCAGTTTTCTCGGTTATTTAAAAAAGGAGGATTATGACTAAAGACAATAGTGGTAATGGTAGTAACAGATACAGAAATGATAAATAACATAAACAACATAAAGAGAATGATGTTGATATTAACAAATATAATGATGGTGACGATAACAGTGGTAATGGTAGTAACAGTGATAATAATGATGGTGATGATAGTAATGATAATAATAATGTTACGATAAAACAACAAGAATACAAAAACAAAATAAAGAACTAAGAAATAACAACATAAAAAGAATGACATTAATAAATACGATGATGGCGATAAAAAACGTTAGCAATAACAATGACAACAAAAATACAGATAATAATAAAAATTATGATAATGGTAATACCGATATAAAAATCATTACGTGACGATTACCTAGTTCTATTATCGACATAGCAATTATCATTATGATTAATACTGCCATCATGCTCATTACATCGCCATTTGAATGTTATTGGTGTTATTATTATTATCATAATGATTATGACAATGATAATTATCTTAAGTATTACTATTATTATCATCATCAAAGGCATTATCATTATTATTATTGTATAATTATCATTACCATCCTTATCATTATCATTACTATTTATGATTACCATTATAATCATCAGTCATTATCATTATTGTGATTATTATTATCATTTTATATTATTATTATCCTCATCATTAGCATTATCATTATTAAACTCGTTATCATTATTGTTATAATGATTATTTTTGTTATTATTATCATATAATTATATTTCTATCATTATTAGTATCATAATTATCATTATTATTGTTACTATCATTACCATCATGAACATCATTATCATCACCATTTTTGTTATGATTATTATCCTGATCATCATCATCATCACCATCAGCAACATCATCATCCTCATTACTATGATTATGATTATCATCATCACCATCAATATTATGATCATCATCATCATCACCATCGCCAACACCATCACCATCCTTATTATGATTATCATTATCATCATCATCTTCATCATCACGCTCTTTATCATCCCCGTTCCTATTCCCTGCCTTCCACCGCCTGTCCCGCCCTCTGCTCCGGCCAACGAGCCAACTTGCATAGTGAAAGTTGTGACGTCAGAGAGAGCGAGGACCTCCCCCCCCCCCCGCCCCCAGCCCTACCCGGTCCCCAACCCTTATCTCCTCCTCTCTATCCTTCCTCCGTTTCCTCCTTCTTTTTTTTTTTTTACTTCTTTCCTCTTTCTCTTTTCTCTTTCTCTTCCTCCTCCTACTCCGTGTTTTTTTTTTCTTTTTTCTTTCTTCTCCTTAGTATTATCAGTATTACTATTATTATTATTATTAACTTTATCATTATTATTAGTAGTATTACTTTATTATAATCATTAATATTATTACTATTATCATTATTATTATTATTATTATTTCATTATTATATTATTATTATTATTATTATTATTATTATTATTATTATTATTATTATTATTATTATTATTATTATTATTATTATCATTATCATTATTCCTCCTCCTCCTTCTCCTCTTCTCTTCCTTCTTGCAGTTCAAATTATCTTCCTCTTCTTTCTTTTCTTCCTATTCCTCCTTCTGCTTCTCCTCCTTCTCTCCCTCTTCTTCCTTCGCTTAAGGGAACGAAGAGAGGTGATAAAAAGGGGAAGAGGAAAAGGAGGAGGAGGAGGAGGAGGAGGAGGAGGAGGAGGGAGGAGGAGGAGGAGAGGAAGAGGAGAAGAAGAAGAAGAAGAAAAAGAAGAAGAAAAGAAGAAGAAGAAAAGAAAAAGAAGAGAAGAAGAGAAGAAGGGGGAGAAGAAGAAGAAGAAGAAGAAGAAGAAGAAGGAGGAGGAGGAGGAGGAGGAGGAGGAGGAGGAGGAGAAGAAGAAGAAGAAGAAGAAGAGAAGAAGAAGAAGAAGAAGAAAGAAGAAGAAGAAGAAGAAGAAGAAGGAGAAGAAGAAGTAGTAGAAAAAGAAGAAAGAAGAAAAGTTGAAGCAAGAGATTGAGGAGGAAAAGGGGAAAGGAAGAAGGAGGGAAAATAAGGAGAAGGGGAAAACGAGATGATAATGGTCAAGGAGGAGGAAGAGAAGGATAATGTAAAGAAAGAAGGAAGTGAAGATAGTGCTAACGAGAAGAAAAGAAAAAAAAGGACGATGCAAAAAGACAAAATAAAATACAAATAAACAAAGAAAACCCCCCAAAATTTAAGAAAAATAAATAGACAAATAAAATAAACATAAAACAACGAAAAGAAACAGGAAGAGAAACTGGAAGAACAGTAATATTATGAAAGTAGAGAGAAGGGAAAGGAATAACAAGCGACAAGTTATGAAAGCAAACGACTGAAATAAAAAAAAAAGAAGGAACCGGTTTTCGAAATAACAGCCATGAATGAACCAAAAGACTCATGATTTCCTTTTGTTAATACATATCATAAACTGGTTCTTACAAGCAAAGCCTTAAATATAAAGGTCCACTAAAGTTTCCTCAACCACTCGTTCAAGATTTCTTCAAACAATCCTTCAATATTTCCTTAAAGAATCCGTCAAAGTTTCTTCAAGCACTCTTTCAATGAGGTCCTTAAAGATTTCTTTAAGGATTTTACGAGAGATTTTACTTTATTTTAGAGATTTTACTTTAATTTTTTACGAGAGTTAATACATATCATAAACTGGTTCTTACAAGCAAAGCCTTAAATATATATGAGATATATCATTACGCAAATAAATCGTATAGAATACATGATTAACAAAATTGAACAACAAAATTTAATAAATATATATATGAGATATATCATTATGCAAATAAATCGTATAGAATACATGCTTAACAAAATTGAACAGCAAAGTTTAACAAGAAAATTTAACAACAAAGTTTAACCAGAAATTTTAACAACAAAGTTTAACAACAAAATTTAACAACAAAGTTTAACCAGAAAATTTAACAACAAAGTTTAACAACAAAATTTAACAACAAAATTTAACAAGGTGGGACACGAATGTACTGTGAGGTATTACGAAATAAAAGGGAACCAATCAGATTAAAAAGGTAATCGAATGATTGAGAAGCAGAATACCGAAGGAATAGAATGGGAACAACAAGAACAACCTCTACAACAACGATAATAATGATAATAACAATAATGATAATAATGATAATAATAGCAACAACAGCAACAACAACCACAATTACAATAACAATGATAATAATAATAGCAATGATATCAATAGGAATAATAACTCTACTGTTGCTATTAGTGGCGAAAACAACAACGATAATAAACAAAATAAGACAGAAAAAATAATACGCAAGTTTCCCACGAAAAAACTCCCACAGAAAACGAGAGGCTAAACATCGCTCTCAAGGTCGAAAGTCCGTGTTTCCTGGTTCGCAAAAACGTCCTTACTGTTGCTAGAGCATTATAGGTACATACTGTTTCGGTTTGTGTGTGTGTTTTTTTTTATCTAGTT